CTCTTTCTCACAAGAACAGAAAGCATGACACCAGCTCACTACTTCTTTGCTACCTTATAACCCTGACAAAACTAACCTCCAGAGCAAAGAGCTGCTCATCAACTCAGATACACAGAGCACAGTGAAAAATGATACAGGAATGCATATACGAAAATTATGTCCAAAGTTCCTGAAGTCAGCACAGGGCCTGTCTGGATGGCACAGTCTGAAATTCCACTACTGCATGCTTTCTTCAGCAAAACTCATCTCTTAACTGAATCAGAGCAAAAAAATGGTATTAGAGGATAAATGGGAGTTTTCCAGTCTTTGGGCTGGGTACAACCTTCATGAACAAGCCAGCGGTTGTGACTCACTCCCAGCATCTCCTGTCCTGAAGGGTGTCCTTGTCTGAGCAGGAAGCAGGCTGTGGGCCAAAGGAAGTACCCTCAGCCCACGGCTGCTCCATGCCCCTCACAATTCCAAAGACCCCTCAGATATAGACAGCTGTGCTTGGGTATTGTTACTCAGAAACGGAAGGAGGGAGTAGTTGCTACATGTCAGGTGCAGCTTTGCTGGGACGCAATGGCTCATGTACCCAAGGCAAGCAGCGGGGTGCTCAAGGGAGAGGTGCAGCACCCATGGGATGGGGGTGGCACTGCAGGACACCCAAGCAGCTCCACAGAAGGTTATTATACCATCAGATAATTATAATAGGATGATTATTTACCTGTTAAAGCTTCTTTGCTAACAGTTTTTATTTGGAGAAAAATTTCTTCTCTCGTGGCAGTCCAGCTCTCGAGGCTACTGGAGATGACTTCTCTAATGCTGTTCAGTTCACTTCGAATAAAGGGGAACAGGGAGACAACCTTGCTCAGGGTGGAGCAATGGTGTTCCAGTGTATTTCTGCAAGACAGAACAATAATAACAGATACACACATTTAAAATTACAAAACACTATTAGCAAACTTGGGAACTAAAGTAAACCTGATAATGACATTTCTGTTATATCATAACATGTTATATTGGGTTACAGTAACTTAGTGTAAGAAATATGCTGTATATTGAATATATTTATAGTTTCTCCCTTCTAAATGTTGATTTAGAATTTACATGTATAGAAGAAGAAAACTGTACAATTGTACAATCCCTTTTTATTGAGAAATCAGAGTAACCATGTTTAAATGACTGTATGTCCAAGCTTATGTGGACACTTTATAAACAACACATGTAAGAAACGCTATTTCCAATACACTACAAGCAAGAGGTACACACTTGCTTTTAAGTATTAACTAATGCTTTTAAATTTGTGAAGAAATGATGCCATTGCTAATCACATCAGCAATCAGCAGTGTTATTTTCAGGTTACATTTGCTAAGTCTGCAGTATCTCTCTATATTCTGGCAAAGCAACGAACACCAGGATGGTCATAAACCCTCTTCTTCCTGACCACGCCAGGATCTCCATTGGATTCTCTCAGCTGATGGTACCTGTTCCCAGGAGGCACGACATCAACATCTCTTTTTGGGTTCTTACCTGAGCACATGTGATTGCTTATAGACAGCTTCCTTCTCCTCTTGGAAATACCGCAAGTCATCTTTCACATTTTTTAATTCATCTTGCTTGGTTTTAAGTTCCACTGTTAGGGTTTTTATTCTATAGATGTAAAAAAAAAAAAATAAATAATCAGAAAATATTTGCACTACCAACTAACATCTAACTTTTTTTCAGCTTTAAATTAAAAAGATGCTGAAAGTCTTTTCAAAGATGGTAATCACATATTACTGAGGTATCAGATCTTCAAATAGAGAGAATCTGATCTTCTGGACATGACCAGTATTAGCAACTCCTTCAAAATAATACTGATAATACATTTGGAAAATAATGTGGAAGTGTATATGTCCAATAACATCTCACATGCACTGTTATATAAATATATTGAGATTCCACATTCATTCACATATTCAATTTGAGATGTATCATAAGTATAAAGTGGGGAGAAAACATTCTGTGACCACTGTGGGCTAAAAGGCTGTTTCAGAGTCAGATTGCTCTGTCTGCCCAGCCTCTGCCTCGGCGCCTATCCCGCAGCCAGGGAGAACGGGCTCTGTCCAACAGCGCTTCTCACCGAGGAGATCACAGAGCACCTGGGTGGAAAAGACCTTCAAGATCATCAAGTCCAACCATAACTTAACACTGCCAAGGCCACCACTAACCCATTACCCTCAGCACCTCATCTTCCCGGCTTTTGAACCCCTCCAGGATGGGGACTCCATCACTACCCTGGGCAGCCCTTTTCAGTCCCTGAGAACCCTTTGGGGAAGAAATTTTCCCTCAGATCCAATCTAACCCTCCTCTGGCACAACTTGAGGCCACTTCCTCTTGTCCCTTCACTTGTTCCTGGGGAGAAGAGACCCACGCCGCCCCTTGCTACTCCCTCCCTTCAGGAGCTGTAGGGGGGATAAGGTCTCCCCTCACCTCCTCTTCTCCACAGTGAAACCCCCAGCTCCCTTTGGTAGCTGTATGTAACCATTCCAATATATTCTTCTAGCCCCAAAAGTACAGCTACAACAATATACAACTGTTAAATCCAGTCCCTTTGTGAGCTTTCAACACCTACTTTTAACCTACTGCAAGCAGAATAAATGATCTACTAGTAGATTTCTCTACTGGTGACTCACTGTCACAAGTAAATAAATAATATTTGAATTGGCAAATAGTTTACAAAACCAAGGATTGGCAGAAGCATTACATCAGCCTTTGCTTCCATTTAAAAAAAAAAACAAACCACAAAAGAAAATGAGAATTATTTAAAGTAAAAAAAATAATAAATTAAACTATAACATTAATGTGTGTTACTTACTATTATCAGATAGATCACCTATAACACATTTGCACCAAAATCCAAATTTTAAAAAATCTTAGTAATGATAAAGAAATCTGGATCTGTAGAACTCTGCCAAAACCAAAACTGAACATCTGGTAGCTAAAAAGTTCCTTGGGTTCAACTATGATCACAGGGAGAAAAAAACAAACAAACAAAAAAAAGGTGGAGAAGGCAAGGCAGCTGCACTTTCCCTATCATCATCATGATAAGAAGAAAGAAAAAGAAACATGTTCTTTTGGTGATATTTAACACACAGGAAAAAGTTCAATGGCTCATTAAATGTGAGAACATACTGATCTAGTCCTCTGTCCTCCAGTTCAGCTGTGAAAATTACCACCCCATCCCACCTCTGCAGCCAGCACATTTTCACAGTGAATACAGGAGGAAGCTTGCCCAGGGCAGGAGCTGAATTATAACACGTTAAGTACTGGTCCTGACAACCAAAAGAATAGCATGAGAAAATAATGAAGTTGTGAAGGATTCCTGCCAGCAAACACACACTCTCATTGTCCTAAAAGTAATGACAAGAGTGGTTTCCACAGGTGTTTGGTTGTTTGAATTTAAGATGTTGTGTTTCACAGGAGAAATAATCTTTGCAGACTACATGGTGCACAGCCCCTTTGTGAGTCTCAGTAACATCCATTTAAGCATGAAGGAGCAGTTGCATCCCCAGTTGCCTGGAGGCATCGGGGACAGCATGCACAGAGCAGAGAACACCCTGTCAAGAAGTTTCACTACAGGATTTCCAGCTCCATGACCTGCTCAGAGGCAGCCATTCCCCAATTTCGTTTCAGCACGTTGCATTCCTGTTGACAGACAAGCCAGTGTGCATCGCTGTGAGCAAGCTGAGTATTCATTCATAGATTTGGCATGGGATATGTATTAAATGCAGTCTGAAACTCACTGGACATCATGTCATCCACAAACTTCTTCATAATTGTCTTTTTTTAGACTCTGTTCAGCACAGACAGGTTAAGACAAGACGATTTAATAGTTTTCATGTGCCACTACAGAATCATTCAACTCTTTATTGCAGCTTAGCGCACAGCCCAATTTGACAGCAAATTAAAAATATCTCTGACAGTCAGTCAAGAGGCTCTTTGGGAAGGTCTCCATCAAGTCTCCTGGAGGCTGACAGTTATTTCTTGCATTAATTGCTACCTATCTTTATTATCCCAGTAGAAATGTAAGATGTAGTGTGAAGACAGCCTGGATAATTCTGGCTCCAGCAAAGGTAAATCCGTGGAACAGATCTGAAAACCACTGATAGAGACAACTGCCTTGTCACAAGCACTTCCAAATTCATCTTTGAAGAAACTCAAGCTGCCAATCCAGCTACCAATTTCACCACAGTAATCATGGTTTACAGAATCTCAGTCATAGCAGCCCTACTCAGTACTGCTAGGACAGTGTAACTCAGGAGTAACTTCTTAGAAGTCAGTGGAGTTACACTGAGTTGGTGCCATGGTTTAACCCAGCAAGCAGCTAAACACTACACAGCCGCTCGCTCGCTCCCTCCTCCCTGGTGGAGGGGGGAGTATATTAGGAGTAATTCGGTAATTGCATGAAAAAGAAATGGTGCCAAGGTAAATCCATAGGTGACTTTTTACTTCTCTCTTTTTCTCTATCTTACCTCCCTGCCCTCCAAATCCACAGAACCCCACAATGTAAAGCTGCAAGTGACCTTCCTGCATCTCACACTCGCATGTTGAACATCCACAGAGCACAGCCACAGTCAAAAGAGCTCACCCCAGATTTTCCTCTGGGTCACCTTCCCCTTTTGCAGAATTAAAAGCAGAGTCAAGTGCAAGAGGAAGTCAAAGGCAGAAGAGAAAAGAAGTGTCTCCAAATCCAAGATCGGCCTGAGTTCATGCTCTGGTCCCAGCCACGTTTCATTGCTACGGGGCCATAGAGAGATCCAAAGCGTAACACTTCATCCCGTAATGCACACACAATAAATTAACTTTCTTCACTAAATATCTACTAAAATTTCAAATTTCGCTTTGAGGACACTAAAGCAGAACCCCTGTGGATTCAGTGAGACATTCTGTACCAGTAGGGACTGAAGGAAACTGGGTAAGGCTCTGCTGTTACACCCAGAATCATTTTACAGCTACGGATCAAGCTTACAAATCTCACATTAAATTACAAAAGTGGAAGCAAATGGAGGCACAAAAAATTATTTTATTACAAACTTCTTGATGGGGCATTCTTGCAGTCACAAAATGGATAGCAACTCACTGTACCCAAGCAATTGAAAGTTTTAACTTGAACTTATTGTATGAACAAAGAAATGACCACCCAATAGAGGAAAAAACCTAAACAAATGTGCATCACACCATTTTCTTACACCTACCATGCATTTCAGGTTCAATTCTCTGACAATTTATGAATATCGTGTTACAATAAAATACTATCTAAGCATGACTACTTTAATCTCTCATTTTGCAGACCAGCAATTGCGCTGTCCCATAACGAGTTAAGTTATGCAATGCCCTGTAAACGGTAAATTACCAGTAGAATTACAATGACCGGTACATGGTAAATATTGTATATATTGCACATGATACTGAAACCACATGAGGGTGCACAGAATCACGCAGAATTTTTGGTGGAGGTTTACTGCCAGTGACCACCCCTCCAGGCCCCTTCTGCATTACGTGGCACCGCTCTCAGATGCCAAAAACTCCGATAACTTTTTAAATGTAACTTTAAATTTTAATTTTAGCTATTAAATATGATTTTTTAAAATGAAAAAGTAAGCAAATATGCGGATTTCCCTTTGCCTGCTGTTTCAGCCTCTTCCAGATAAGGAATTTTGCTTTGCCAGAAGAAAGTTCATTTTGTCAGGAATTTGAGAGAAGGTTGAGCATTACTGCACAGCTTTGCACCTCATGAATCACTCATCCAAACTACCTTGGTGAAAAAATTTCTTCGTTATTCATGATCAATCTTGGTACTTGATCAGGTTAATAGAAAAAAAACATGTCAAAACCAGAACACCAACAATTTTAATATATCAGGAGTGGGCCAGAGCTATCGTCAGGCAGCAGCAAAAAGCAGTTTCCTCTAGGGAAGACACTGCCTTTGACACCCTGTACATAAGACGCCAACAGCAAGAGATTTCCCCAAGGCACTGGGGAAAAAAAATACAAAATTTAGGCATATTCAACAAAGCATTTTCCATGGTATTCAGTTTTGTGATGGTGGTGGGAACTGACAAACTGAAGAGAACACAAACAGAAAAGCAAAAATATGGAAAAATACGGAAGTTAAAATGTGAAGTTTGCTTTATCTTTAAGGTTTTTTTAATTTATGGATAAAGTTTTCAAACTCTACATGCATAACTCGGCAGCATGAATCTCATTGTAGGCACCAACAAGTAACACCTCCTGCCAGATTTATATAAAAGTTTTCAAAACTCTATTTACAAGGGAACTTTGCCATAGGACTTGCCCAGTGATATCTATACACCTCTTCACATGTCTAAATATCATAATTTTTTGCTCCCCATCACATTCATGGTATTCAGCATCACTTTAACTTTAAAAACCATCTTCAGTATTTAAATCTCTTTATATTGGATGTTGCAAGAATTACCAAAATTCAGACCACAAATGCAGCACACCCTCATGCAGCAAATGGAAGTTTCCCATTTGATTTCAGCAGGTTTTAAATCAAGTCGAGCCTTAGGAAGGAAAAATGCATAGATAAAATGTGTACTAAGTGTTCCAGTTCTGCTACAAGAAGTCGGCTAAATGAAAATTTTAAGTTTACCTCTGGCAAATGATCCTCAAAAAGAAGAATGTGCTGTCAGTGCATTTGGTAATGCTGCCATCAGAACTGCCACCCTAAGCTGTTAAAGGAACAAGGACCACATGCACTCTCTAAAAATACGACGTTAAACCAAAGAAAACATTGCATACTGGGGGTGTTCAGTTCAAATGAAAATAATATTGCAACAAACAATGAATGATCTGTAAAATATATGCGTTTTGTTCAACGTCGTGTGAATTTGTATGATTTAAAGCCAATCTTTTATTAGTAATATTACCAAACACAAGCCTAACTAAATCCATTAATAGCAACATTAAATTCTTAACAGTATTTGAGTGATTTGGAAAAAAGAAAACAAAACACAAAAGTCAATGGATTTGAGTGGCTTCACCTGTAGTCAAGCTGTAGCTGTTTCTTCTGGAGTGTTTTCAGAGTATGAGAGCTCATTAATACTTAAAATGTTCAATGTCATTGAGTATAGATCCTTGCTACCAGGTACAAGTCAACCATGCAAGAAGCCCCGCTATTGGAGGTCTTTGAATCAGTACAGCTGAGCTGATGGTTAAAATTGCAATCTCATTCTTATATAAAGCTTCTGACACTTTGATTCAGATGAGCAAGAAATTACCAAGAAGTTTCTGATGCACCTGTTTATATCACATTATTCTATCAGCAGTCAAATTTAGCAACTGCACCTTCATAAAGTATCTTTTATTAGCCAACTATAAATATTAATGTTTATAGTCCTACTGTAAGCAATCAGTGGAATGTTACAATAGATTCCAAAATATGAGGACAGAAAGCCAGGATACACAAAACCAGGACTGAGTATCCATGTTAAATCTGATATCAAGAGTAGCAGACAAAGAGAGGCAGTTCTTCAGAGCTTCAGGGCTGGAAGAAGCCCAAAAACATGTATTTCTTTCACAGAACAGCACAGAAAATATATGATTTGTTATTATGAAATCTGTTATATTGTCACGGTGTTGTAAAACAGCATAAAAGCAACAGAAGTTAAATTAGGAGTTAAGCCAGGTGGACATCAGGGTCTGCAGCCACTGCCCCAGCCACATATTTTAAAGCTCATTTGAGTACAGCAACCTTTGCATCCTTCACTGCCGACACAAAGAACAGGAAATGTATTAAAATTATGAATGAAGGACGAGCAGAGGAGAAAAAAGTCCTTGAAACTGCCTGCTTATGCTTTATTTTCTCATGTCTGCCCCAAAATGAACCTTTCTATCTGATGTACCCATCTGAAGGTATAGGCAAAGCCATGCCAATTCCTTATCAAAAGGACAAACATTTTGAAAGTATGACTTCCCGTTTCAAGTTTCCAGTTATCGTGCTGTGCTGAAGAACGGCACAAAAGCCTGGAGGTACAAGCTGAATGAGAAAACACAGGCTTTACTAACTGTGCCCTAACAGAGTAGTCCTAGAACCATGCAGATATTTCAGTATTGGAGTTCATAAACTCCCTTTGAACTGGGACCATCACAACCTGCCAGGGAGTACTGGCAAACTCCAGTTCCTGAGGAACAATGGCACAGACAGTACCCAAGATTTTCATAACTGTTTTAATATTTTCTGTGTCATCTCTTCAGAGGGGGAACTGTACACTTCCGATAATTCTTTACCATGTTACGATGAGACAGTAAGTGAAAATACCAGAACTGTGAAACTCCCAATACTGTGGAATTTCCTTTAAAATAGTAAATCTTTTTAATTATAAAATGATAAGATGAAATATTTTATTATTTCCCTTTAGGAGTGTGTGCAGGGGAAATACATCTGAAATGCCTTTAGGTCTTTCACTTTAAATAAATTCACTGCTTTTCAACTATTAAGGAACTCAAGACCTGCTTCTAGATAATGGTACAAAATAGGATTTAAATTAAGTATTACACTACATATGTTACATCTGATAAAAGAAAGACAAATCTTATTTGTATTTTAAACTTCTCTGGAATTAAATGACCTAATACACATACAGGGTAATAACATCAGACCGGATAACATGCTCTGACCTTTCTGTTTTTGATTCCCTGTCAGCTCGATAGCGTTCAAGGTCCTTGTACAGAGCCTGCAGCTCTGCCTGAAGTCCTTTTTCCCGTTCCAGACTTCCTTCATAACATTTAATCTTCTTTTCCATTGCTTTGACTTTTTCTTCCATTACCTTAAATTCGTGGAGTATCAAATAGCTGACTCCACAGTATTTGCACACTGTCTCATGCCGGGGCATCTAGAAAAAAAGAAAAAATTGTAAGATTGTTTGTAAGAAACATGAACATAATAAACCTGAATGACACTAAAAAAAATAACCATAATTCTGAAGAGCTGAAACCATTTACTGCCCTGAAGCATTTATGGTCAGATGATCTAATTGCTTTAAATAATAAAGACAAATTCTACATCAGCAAAATGAAATCAAGCTACTTTTGCTTACTGAAAACCTTCACAAAATATATCTACTATGCAATTTACTGTGTGGGAACTCCCACTGAGACTTCTGAATTATGTCTGATGGTATTAATTTAAAATCAAATGCTGTGTTTTACGAAGTTATCTCCTTAATGAATTTGTGATTGCCGGAGCCAGAAAAATGTTATTTACTGTGGTTTTTTGACAATTCCTATCCACTGAAGCAGGCAAGATGAATAGTGGAAAGTGAAGAGTGATGTAATCCAGCATCTTCACAAAAATAATTCCAATGAGTAAGAGATCAATTATGATGATGTAGCGCCCATGGCACTTGAGTGCTGTGGAAAACGCAACGCATTTGCTATGTATAAAGTATTCGTCACAGATTTAAAAAATACGGAGTATGTAATACACATCTAATTGGGAGACCACTGCTTAAATTGAAACATACTTTGTAAAGGATGAAATTATTAAGCTGTGCGGTGAGCAAGTCTTCAGAAAAATGAACAGAAAGACATGCTCTGGCTTTGAGACGTACTTGGTAAACTGGAAAACTGCAAGCAGATTAAGTCAAAGTGTGTAAGAATCCTTTGTGCCACAAGAAAAAACACAACAATTTGAGACACTGGAATAAATTCAAAGAAATCGTACTTAGAAGAAAGAAAACAGCTTTCAAAAATTATAAAGACTCATTATCCCCTGATTCAATAATTATTAGGACTTTAAGTGTAGCTTGATTAAAATGATATTTCAAGATGCCCTGGAAGTACTGGGCTTTATTTTCTAATTTCTGAGTTCTGCCCCAGTTTAAAACACCCGTGGTTACGGTTGCTCCGAGCGAGCTGACAAAGCAAGTTTATTTTTTCTGGCATCTGCAAACTGTGCTTGGAAATATGAAACCGTTATTCAGGATAACTACCATAAAGTTTCAAAGCACTAAAATGACTGTATTGCAAAAGGACAAAATGAACTGTTAGAAGGAGAGGGACTCTTCTCCCAAAAGAACATTGTGCTCTCTTGCAGCACCACCACTTCTGTCTCTCAAATAAACAGCTACAGAAATTTCACTGGGTACTAGGATTAAAAACAAAATAAAACAATCGGGACCTGAACTGAAAATGTTTTATGCAAGTATGAAAACATTTTCATTTACAAACTCGATTTTGTTACTGAATTTTATTTTTAAATAAAGTCACAAAACAATAAATATTATCCATCCAGTCTCAGTGGGAAATGGGTCCCGCTCTTGACATCCATTCCACAGGGGAAGTAAAATCTTAGAAAGACTTCAGATCAGGTTGGATTTTGAAAGTATTTGCTACATAGTCAAAAAAATCACAGGAAAAACAGAGGGCTTTATATAACTGCAGTAAGGAAAGTTCCGTCTTTTAATCAGAACTTTGCTTCTGTATGTGCACGATTATCCTGCAACCACTGCAATACACTGCATATAGACATGGACTATTTTTAAAACGTCTCCCTGTAGTAGAAGCAGCACCTTCCTCATACCAGTAATTAATATGGCATGGGTTGAGTGATGCTCAAAAGACAAATAGCCCAAACTAAATTCCATGCTGCAGCAGATTACCACCAATTAGCAAGCTAATTAATTTACATCCAGCACATCTGTGCCCAATATGCCTAAGAAATTATGGAGAGTGAATAGCTCCAAACTATGCAGAATAAGGATGTACTGCTCTGAATTCTTACCCTAAATCCAAGATTCTTCTCTCATGCCCATAGTGGTCAAATCACAAGCAGGATTTTATCTTCTTTTTTTTTCTCCTTCCCTCCTCTTTCTGACATTGTCAGCATCACAACCTGAGCTCTCCTCACCAATACTTTAAATAACTCCTGAAATTCCTGAGCTACTTCGACATTTTTCAGAAGCTCCTGATGCTTCACAGAGAAATGCCATCAAGCCACAAATGCTGATTTCACTCATCCAAAATAAGGACCAAGCTCTCCTAGGGCTACACCAATTTACAGGTCAGAGACAGAAAACATTTGAGAGCTTTGAAGATGACTTACAAACAAAATGTTTTGGGGTTTTGCACAGTTTCCAAGAGAAATAATATGACTTCATCTGTGTGTGTATTTCTCTGTTGTCACCCTTCAGTTATTTGGGAACCAGAATGTTTGGTCATTTATAACCAAATCTGAGGGCAGAAATATTTGCGTGTCTGAAAGTCCGGGACAAGGGTGTGGGCAGTGAGGACTTCCCAAATTCCCTGCTGGAGAAAACCCTGGAGTGCAAGCACAGATCTCCTTATCAGGGAGCAGATAATCCATAGGAGAGCACCTCACAAATGGTCTGTCCGGGAGAAAAATTCCATTAGACCTCGTATCTTAGACACCAGTGGTGATTAACCATTATACAAAAGTCTGTAGGAAATATTTTCATTCGTTTTTATGCTAACAAAGCTACCTTTCCTGGGATAATATTATCACTGAGGAACTACTAAGAACGTGTATTACAGTGATTTATGCTTTCAGATTCCCATGTTTCACTATTTACAGTTGATCAAAAGACTGTTGTCATCTTTTCAAATAGAAAGCAGGAAAAAAATCAGGGGAAAAGCAGAGTCTGGAGGGAATAGAAAAGGAAACTACCAGAGCTCTAACTGGAAAGCAGGCAGTGTACATGCGTAAGTCCTTATCAGTGTGACTGAGCAGCAAATAGAAAAATTCAATTAAGGGAAAAAAAAAAACAGAAGGCAATTTTAGTATATTGTGTTTAGCGTCAGCTTGGACAAGGAAACTCAGAGCAAACAGGACTTGAAAAAGTGACAGAGAGGCACTAAAAATCCCCTGCTATTTGAGTTAGCACAACAGAACTGTGTACATGATGACACCATCAAACCAAACTCACTGAGGAGAAAGTGCTCAAATGAGGAAGATATCTGATCTGTAAGATTTTGGGCTCAACATTATACCAGATGCTGCAGTGTAAGAAAGGAAGAGCGCGATGTCCAGAATAAACCATGTGCCGGGATAGCGTTTCCAGCTTTGCTATTCCACTGCAGCATCAGTGGGAGCAGTTTCAACCCAGAGCTGTGCTGTGTTTTGGAAGAAGTAACATCATTCCATGGTTAACACACATTTCTGAAGCTACCAAGGGCAAAAGAAGGGAGTCAAGATGGACAGTCACTCACACTACTTCTGACTCGGTACCCTCAGCAACTGCAGAGCGTATGTTATCAGGGGAAAAAAAGGAAAAAAACCAAAACTTTGGTGACCTAGGTAATTTTTAGCCTTTTCAATGACAAGATAGGAATTTATACATAATTTATCAGTGCGCAAGCTGACACTCCCTGTAGTTATTCTCCTCTGATATTTCAGAATCCACCGCAAAAATTACCATGATAAAGAGCTACATTCCTGTTAAAAGCAGTCTACTGTCTCACTTTGCAGTGCCTTGGTATTACAACATGCAGCATATGGATCACTTATGCTCGAAGTAGCCCATTAAAGCAGCTAATAAACAGCCACAACTCTTAAAAGCCAGAACTGAGCTCCTCAGAGAACAGGCTCTTTTCAAAAGCTTTGAATATGTTTCTGTGCATTGCTGAAATAAAAATGAGCACAGATGTACTCCTTGTACATGAATTTTACAGCACAGGGGAGGGAGAGCCTAAGGGAACCGCAGCACTCACCATCCTCCCTGCATCACCCCAAAACTGCATTTGTCCAAACTACACTTGTAGCTGAACAGAAGACTCAATACAATTTAAAAATCATTATGCTGCAGCTGGATGCTCTTAAATTATTTCTTGATTGTTTTATTCTACCTCCACTTGATTCTAACTTACTTTCTAAAAGTTTATTGTAAGACGAATTTTCAGTCAGCATCTACTTAGAAAGTAATCCAGATTGTAATGCCGAGCAATGCGGCACACATAATTATTTGCTCCACTTCCATAAAATAACAGTTGCATAATAAAAATCACAGTACTTGCTTTGAATACATATCAACAGTGTAGAAATAGGCTCACAGTAAACACAGAACATACTGCTCTCTAAAGTTTCATTCAAAACATAACCTGGTTTGTCACGACAGGAAATAATACTCAGATTTCAGGTAGCTTTCATTTTTTCCTGCCCGTGAGTAAAGCAAATGAATGAAATGAATGAATCTTAAACGTGCACACACTCACAGCCCTGCAAACACCCCACACACAGCCAGCGGCCATGCAGGCCTCACTGCTACTCACAGCCTCTTTGGGGACACATTACAGCACACTTCAATGCTGAGTATTATAAAGTATTATAAGAGTACTATAAGAGTTGTTATAAACTGAGCTGCAGGACATTGCCACAAAACGTGATGCCTGCACAGACAAAAGAGAATTTAGCCCATGATTAACCTTATTTTTGCCTGACAGCCACTGACTTTCTGCATCTGTATTTGCAGCTGTTGGGAAGCTACAACCCAACTGGTTGTGGTGCAAGAGAGACTGCAATCCCTCCAATTTCCAGCAACATACCTGAATGTCAGTTGAAGAAAGGGTAGAAAAGCTTAAATATAGTGAATACAGCCCTAGTTTTAGGAGAAAACCTTGACTGTAGGAAATACAGTCTTAGTTTATGGGTATAATTGATAAAAATGCTTCACTTCCCTAGGTGACCACCAGCGACTCCAGAATTCTCACATTAAAATCGTTACCCAAACTCAGAAGATCTGCTCGCACAAATCCTCTGATACCACAATACACAGTGGTAACACATGAGGTTGCCTTTCCTATCTGGGAGCTGGTTTTCCCAAATTTGGGAGCCAGTTTTCCCAGTCCACAGGTCCATAGCCAACCAGTTCACTGTTGA